CGCTTTCTTTCTTTTCTTCGCCATTGCGTTAGAAAAAAAAATGTATTAGTAAAATAGAATATTGACTTGGAAAATAAAACGATTTAAAAGAAAGTTGTACAAAGTTACAGTACTCCTTTCGCACAACCTCCCGCCTGCTTCCGCTTTCCAATCACCTTTTTCTCTCGCTTTTGCGACCGCTTGTTGAATTCGACCGGACAATTTCCGCTTTATTTTCGACCGCGCAAACCCCGAAATATCACCGCCCACCTGCTCGCTCGCGCGCATTTCACACATTGAAAAGTTTTGAGAAGATAGATATAAGCCGTGGACAGGAGACATAGAAATGACAGTGTTTAAAAGTTGTAACATGGCAGGGGTGAGAGTTCAGCCTAACAAATCAGATAAATCATCACTCGCTGTGATAGGCTTGTTACTCTGTGTTGATGGCTGCTGAGCTTGAGCTGATGACATTGCATTCATAGACACTTTGTTTTTCTGTGACTGTGAAGGGCCCAGCAAATCATCAAATGCAGACAAATCAACTTTTTGTTTTGTTTGCTGCATGTTTTGGTTGTACATAGTAGATTGTGGAGTCTGTGACATACTACTCATTCCAAAACTGGGATTCATACTGCTGGTTCCATATGGATTACCAGAAGCTCCCATTCCATATCCGGTATTTCCCACACTGTACGATGCACCAATTCCAGTGTTATAACCTGTCATGCCATAAGAACTTGCTGACGTAGGGCCAGTCATCGCCATGTTCCTATTGTTCCCCATTGACATTCCCATGTTTCCAGTCATTCCCATTGTACCAGGTGCCCCCACAGGCCCAGGTGATCCCATAGTATTGGTCATTCCCATAGTACTCCTAGGTGCTCCCATAGAGGATGTAGCTGTCCAACCTGTTCCAGTGTCATAGTTACTGCTTCTTGTGGATGCTTTGGTTGACATAGTGGATGTAGCTAATGAACTCGTTAAGTCTTTTGGTTGGGATTTTGTTGTCTTGACAGTTTCAGTCGGCTTTAACTGCTGCTGTTTTTTAAACCTCTGCTGCTGTTCTTGTTCTTTTTGTAAACGCTGCTTGTCTTCCAGCGTGAGTGATGACTGGGACGGTGCTGCTGTCTGCGACTTAACAGGCTGTGCAGTTTCTCCCTTGGAAGCAGCATTCAACTTGTCGGATTTAGTTTGAATAAAACTGCCAAGTCCAAAACTCTTGAACATCTTATCCATCTGAAAATAATTTATAATATTAATATAGAGTTATTCCAGAAAAATGTGTAATATTGAAAAAAAAATACAAGCTTATACATATGTAGATATGCCTGGTAACACGACAGAAATACTAAAGAAAACTTAAAAGATCAATTTCCATCATTGAAAACCAGTAGACATCAACAACATTAATGCATTCAAGAATATTGATGTCACATTTTAAAACTTATATCAGACGCAGAAGTGCTATAATATGTGTAGGAAAAATAAAAATGTTCTCACAGTACCAAACACTTTATTGCCTTTTCTGTCTGTTATCTATCATTAAATTATTTTACTACAAGCAGGTATAATGATAAGGTTTAACTCAAGAATACAGCAAAGTATGCACTCAGGCAGCACAGGTGCTCATCAACTTTGTCATACTGCCTTCTTGCATATACTTATCCTGTGATAATGTCCAAAAATCACATAGCTATCAATTTGCATTGAACATCAATAACTGTTATAATCTGCAACTAAAAACAAATCACTTACCATTGAATCAGTTTCCTGTGTTTTGTGGCCAGTTTGTTGCAACTGATCAAAAAAATCTTCTTGTTTTGGTTTCCCATTAGATTCTGCTGTAAATTCTATGGTGCTTCTGTAAACCCAATAACAAACAATGAAGTTCAGTTGACGTAACTCCCACAATGCAGTTCAGTTAGGGTAATTCCAAGAATGCAATTTGGGGTATCGGTACCTTCCACAATGCAATGCAGTTGGGGTAATTCCCAAAATACAGTTCAGTCTATAGGCAACTCTCAAAATGTAGTTATATTAAGGTAATTCCCAGAATGCAGTTCAGTTTTAGGTAACTCCGAAAATGCAGCTCAGTTGGACTAACTCCAAAACTGGCTGATAATAAAATACACATAGAAATTATCCTTGCACAGAAAAGCTACCAGGGGTACGCAAATACATACTTGTGGTGCTGAGATGAGAATGCAACACAGCTGGCCTATTTAAAAGTTAGTTTTACCAAACGATAAAACATTGTATAATGTGTTTTTGACTACGCCAATATTAGTATTCAATGCTAGCACTTTTGGAAAATTTATTAAATGCTCTGTTATTGTATGATGGCAATTTAACGATTGACAACTATGAATTATTTACATTGTAATATGTAATCAGAGAGCTGAGACAAACCTTTGTTCTTTCTGCATTGTACTCAGTTGTTGTAATTTACTTCTCTGGTCATTCTCCACCTGACCTATCATACTTTTGATAACTGACATGAAAGCATTGAACTGTGAATGAAAACAAGACATTTACTTTTTAAAGCCAACTGAGAACAACCTTGAATTAAACCTTTCTGGGATGTAGTTATGAAGCCTCATTTGATATACATTTCCAAATAATCCATTCAATGTTCAACAGATAATACAATAACTGTAGATACTGACTGATTCATTAGTTAAAGTAACTTGTACACAAATCAGGTGTTTATTCCAAGCCATGCTGCTCTGAACCTGTATAATGTTTCTATGTCAAAGTTGCATTCCCACTTTGTATGATCCGCAGAAAACCTCACACTGACCCCTGACCCCTGAAAGCATTCCCACTTTGTATGGTCTGCAGAAAACCTCACACTGACCCCTGACCCCTGTAAGCATTTCCACTTTGTATGGTCTGCAGAAAACCTCACACTGACCCCTGTAAGCATTCCCACTTTGTATGGTCTGCAGAAAACCTCACACTGACCCCTGACCCCTGTAAGCATTTCCACTTTGTATGGTCTGCAGAAAACCTCACACTGACCCTTGAAAGCATTCCCACTTTGTATGGTCTGCAGAAAACCTCACACTGACCCCTGAAAGCATTCCCATTTTGTATGGTCTGCAGAAAACCTCACACTGACCCCTGACCCCTGTAAGCATTTCCACTTTGTATGGTCTGCAGAAAACCTCACACTGACCCCTGTAAGCATTCCCACTTTGTATGGTCTGCAGAAAACCTCACACTGACCCCTGACCCCTGTAAGCATTTCCACTTTGTATGATCCGCAGAAAACCTCACACTGACCCCTGTAAGCATTCACTCTTTGTATGATCCGCAGAAAACCTCACACTGACCCCTGACCCCTGTAAGCATTTCCACTTTGTATGATCCGCAGAAAACCTCACACTGACCCCTGTAAGCATTCCCACTTTGTATGGTCTGCAGAAAACCTCACACTGACCTCTGACCCCTGTAAGCATTTCCACTTTGTATGATCCGCAGAAAACCTCACACTGACCCCTGTAAGCATTTCCACTTTGTATGATCCGCAAAAAACCTCACACTGACCCCTGTAAGCATTCCCACTTTGTATGGTCTGCAGAAAACCTCACACTGACCCCTGACCCCTGTAAGCATTTCCACTTTGTATGATCCGCAGAAAACCTCACACTGACCCCTGTAAGCATTCCCACTTTGTATGGTCTGCAGAAAATCTCACACTGACCCCTGACCCCTGTAAGCATTTCCACTTTGTATGATCCGCAGAAAACCTCACACTGACCCCTGACCCCTGTAAGCATTTCCCACTTTGTATGGTCTGCAGAAAACCTCTTACTGACCCCTGACCCCTGTAAGCATTCCCACTTTGTATGGTTTGTAAACATCAGTTTTTGGATTTTGTGTAAGGTTCATGAGAAATATTATCCAACATATCCTGAAATCGAATGTAAAAGACTATTTGAAAATAATGTAAACTGGCCTTGAATAATTCCAACTATGAAAAGTTTGATTTGGTGATTCAACACTGAAATGTTCAGTATTTCAGGATTTGTTGGGGGGGCTTGGACTAAGGGCATTCCTGAATGCACAACAAATCCTTCTTGAGGATGAAAATTTTACATATTCAGTCAACTACCTGTTTCTAAGAGCAAAAAGTTATATTTACTCGTGTAGACATAAAAAACAAAAGCCAGAATTCATGGCATACAAAAGATATGTAAAATATTTCCTGGAGATATAGTACTTCATTGCTGTCCGACAAAATAGGTTGATTTCTCATAATAAAAAATGGGGGAATTTTATGAAAAA